TGCCGGCGACTCATGGCAGCCCAGCTCCAGGTTGAGCTGTTGTTCAGCATCTTAGCTGTAGAGGGCAGTGTCACTGGCCCTCCTATGTGGGATCCGAACCGGGGCCCTCTGGCATCCCAAGCGAGTTCTTAACCATCACGCCACTCGGCCGGCCCCAGAGGCTTATTTTATGCCGTATGACTTTAGTAGAGTGTGTTAACTTGGTGGTTTGTTAAATCTATAATATATTTCCATGTGTTCAGGGTCGATGGGTTAGTCCATTAGTTCAATTAACTATAGAAGTTAATATTTGGTCAATAGCTTTGTCACTTTTCCCCATATACATGAATTTTGAACAATTAATATTTGTTCAGAAAAAGGGCTAAAAGGGGCCAGTTTTTCAAGCTACATATTGAAGAAATTATACTTAAAAAATGAGTGTCTCCCTCTCCCTTCTCTCCCTCTATTTCCTCCCTCCCCCCTGCACCCCCCCCCACTTTCTCATCCACATCTTACTCAGACCTGAGCTCTTTAACTATAGGAAATTTTTGTAATAAATCTAACTTGAAACGTTCATGTTTCTAAAAGGATATCACTGTGCCAGAAATATTTCTCTGAAACTTAAAAACATTTCATTGGAGTGAAAGGCAATTGGAAAAAAGAAGAAGGAAAAGCGTATAATTACGATGTTTATTGTGTGTCATTCTCTGCTCTTGCCTTGCCTCTCTCTCCCCTACCCCCCACCCCTTCCAATAAAATAAATGAGAAGAAAGGGGTGTTGCAGAAAGGAATGCTTTTGAACAAGAGGGGATGTAGCTATGCTTCATGTCTCATGCTAGCCCTCTGGAGCAAACTACACAGAGAGTTTTGCCACTTTGTAGTAGAAACACGGGTTTTGTTTCTGTGCTTTAATGTGTCTTTATAAAACAGTAGTTGATTTTCATAACTCATTGACAAATGGCTTTTTAAAATCAATGTTAGATTACTTCATCTGGGCTTCTGCCATTTAAGATTGGAGTTGCTCATTCTTTTTTACTACTCAATGGACTGTGAAAATTGAACTGTTAATCTGTTAATGATTATAATAAATTGAAAACATATGAGGGCCGTCTCATCCACATTTGAGCTGAAGGATGTAGTTACCTCCCTTGTGAGCAAATCTATTATTTTTTGATACCTGTGGTTTTAATGCTCTCCATTTTGGATCATTCAGAAGACCTGAAAGAGACTAACATGTTGGCTCTTTAAATGACAGCCCTGCTCACTATGCTGTTGGCTGCACTGCTTTATATTCTGTCATCAAAATGACAGTAATAATTTCAAGTACACTCCCAGCTGCGTCCCTCCTCACTACCATCTGGACTTGGCTAAGTTTACATGGCCAGTTGCTTATCAGCCAAGATACTCTGTATTTCAATATTTTCCTGCACCCATCCAGGGGAAAATTGCCATACTTATCATTTTTTGCCTCCTTTTATGGGAAAGGCAGATTTGGAGTTATTTAGTCCTTCCCAAGGCCCTTTCTTCATAAACACTCTGTAGGAAATTGTGTTTGGTGACCTGGAGAGTGTTGATATTTTTGTATTAGCTACTGATAAAGTTAATTTCATTAGTCATAAATTTGTTAAAAATATCTCCAACTTGGAGCAGCTACTGTTGCCATCACAATTATTCCTTAGAACTGCGTTCTGCTCTAGTAAAAGGAATAATCCTTATTAGTGTGAATGATCTTTCCCATCTGTCCTGATGTCAGCAATAAAACAAATTAATATAGAATTTTTTAATGAAAAAGACATTATCTGATATGTCATCATAAGACATGATCAGAATGTAAGTCTTTTCCATCTTAAAAATCTTTTGCAGTTTCAATAGATTTGGAGTAAATAGGATATTAAGAGAATCTGATAAATTTTAATAATTCATGCTTTTGAAGTTGATAGACCCTAAGACTTCAAATACTGAAGGGTTTAAAGTATTTCTAAAGCATGTGTGCAAAAACCTTCATATAGAATTATTATGATAGTGGAAATTTTAAAACAGCCTAAATGTTTCCAAATAGAGATAGGTTAAACTGTGGTAGGTCTTGAAATAGAATATTATGAGGGTATTTGAATAATGCATATGAAGACAATGGAAAAATGGCGGGGGTGGGGTGGGGGGTGGTGGAATTTGATAGGTCAAAAAGCAGTATAAAAACAAATGCCCATAGATCCACTGTATGGAATATTACATCAATTAAAATGTGTATAGAAAAAACCTTGGGAGGAAATATACCCCGTAGTGCATGCTATCATTGTCTGAGTTAAGATTTTTTTTCTTACCTCTCTACTCCTCTTTCTCTTATAATTTTACAAATTAATATCCTTTACTTTAAAATGAGGATGAAAACGTATATCATAAACATTTTTAAATCATACTTAGATTTGCTTTGAAACCATTTACCGTATTTTGTTCATTCTTTCATTCACCAAATATGTTTTAAGTACCTGCTAGGAACATTATTCTAGGCACTGAGGGATTAACACTGACCCAAATAGTAAGCTCATGGAGTTTATATCCTAATAAATAGTAAATCTTAAGATGCTTAGAAGTGTACATACCCTTAATGATTATATTAAATTCACATCCTTGTTGCTAACTTTAAAGGGCATATTTCTTGATTAGTAATTTAAAGCATTTAAAAAATTCTTACATATATTTTGTCACCAGCTTTTGTAGTAATATAGTTTTTGTACTCATATACCTTGTAGCTCCTTATTAATTGTACATTAATTGAAATCATTCCATATACATCTCTATCAATGTGCTCAGCATTTATATATGTAATGGTAGGGCCCCAAAAGTGCATATTATTATTTTTTATTATTTTAACTGAATTATTTCTTCTTTGTGCCTAATGAGACCTTTATTCTTCCTTAATGTTTATTTTGCTAGCTTTGAGGTATGTGACTTTTTTAAATGGCCTTGTTCTTCCTTTGCTAACGTAATGAAAGACAACAAATGCCGAATGGAATCCATTTTATATAGTTCTTTCATGATGTCTCCTACTGCCCCACCCTGCACATGCTTTGTCTTCTCCCTGCTCCTCTCCCCTAGCCACAATGAACTTGGGAGCCAGTTCAGTGCGTGGACACTTTCTCTCTAGGCCTTGAACACTTAGGGTCCCTTTTCACTTGACCAATATCTATACATATCTTGAAGTTTCAACTTAGGTGTCATTTTTTCCAAGAAACCTCTCCTAACCACCCCTTGGGGGTGAAGCATTTCTTATATGTGCTTCCATAAAATACCATATTTTCTCTTTCGATCAATAACATTTATATGATATTTTACTTGTCTGGTTACATTAGACTAAGATCTATGAGAGAAGGGACATATCTACTGTGTTCACCATTGAATGAATGAATGAATGAATGAATGAATGAGTAGTGATCTTTGTTAACATGAAAATAACTGTGCTGAAAAGTAGAGATTTGGTTTCATAGTAAAATAAATATAAAAACATACCATAATAACTTTGAAACAAAGCATCATTTAATATTTTTTCTCCTCTCTCTCTTTCTTCCTTTTTTGGTCTGTATTAGATATCATCAATCTTACAGAAGAAGTGCAGTGGATCAAAGTCAATACAAACATGACTGGCTATTATATTGTGCACTATGGAGATGATGACTGGGAGGCGCTAATCAAACAGTTGAAAATAAATCCTTATGTCTTGAGTGACAAAGACCGAGCCAACCTCATCAACAACATCTTTCAACTTGCAGGGTAGAGTATGCTTGGTTTGGGGTGATTTTTTTTTCTTTTCTTTTTTAAACAAGTGGTATTGAGGAAAAGAATGTTTCAGAAAAACAGCTCAAAAGAACTAGCTTGTATTGCCTGTTAGGTATAACTCAGTTTGAAGGATTGGGAAAATATAAGGTATATTCCTTACCTCCAGGAGCTTTATCATCTATATGGAAACATCAGATACAAACATTGAACAGCTAAACAACAAGATTTAAATAATATTTCAAGATTGCAGATGCCAACAAGCAAGACACATATTTGCTGAATAACTTGACATAGGAGTTCAGGCTCTGTTTTATTTCTTGAGAGAATTCTTTTTACATAGCACCTAGGTTAAGCCTGGTTCTTGCTGCTCACTCACTGGTTTGAGGAGCATCTCTGATAGCTGCAGGCTCCTTACTTGTGTACCACTTTCCCCCAACCACCCCGTGCATTACAGAATCCCAAAGCCAAGAACGGCAGTGACCTTGTGCATAGATACCTTCTGAATAGAAAGATTACCCACGTAGGTTGTTAATGGGTCTAGAGACACAAAGAATATTCAAAAGTATTCCTTCTGCCTGCTCTTGACCTTCCTATTTTGGTTCAATTTTTTATGACATGACCTTATACCATCTCGGCCATCATTGTTATGATTTCTATAAAATGGTTAATTTTCAAAATGTACTCACCATAAACTCACAATGGACCTCACCTTAACAAGCTTGACAAACAAATTTCCATACAAATAAACGCAAAAAATTTCTGATTTAGATCCTCTTTATGCCACCTGTTCTCACCTGGTAAATGTAAGTAATTAAAAAAATATTAATAAATAAAATTAGTACTCTTTATCTTTTTTCAACTAAGACATTGTAATACTTTTCCTGAGATAGTAGCAATTTACAGGTAACTTGTAGAATAAAAAAGGAGCTGTTGTTTATCTTTCTGCTGAAATATGTCTTTAACCTTGGGTCACACACATGAACTTAATCAGAGATAATAATATTTAGTCTAACTTTACAGAATGACATTTTAAGCTTAAATTTTAGGTCTACAAGACTCACCACCTGGCCATAAAATTTCTCTCTCAGGATGTATCGAGTTCATCTGCCTGTATCGGCCTATTTACTTTTTCTGTTCTTTTACCCTTTAGCCTAGGCAAAGTGCCTCTTCAGAGGGCCTTTGATTTGATTGATTACCTTAGAAATGAGAACTGTACTGCACCCATCACTGAAGCCCTGTTCCAGACAGACCTCATCCATAACCTCCTTGAAAACCTAGGATACACAGATCTGGCCTCAAGATTGGTGGTAAGCCTGCCCCTGCCTTCTCTTGGTTGCTTGCCTTTAGTTCTTACTCCTAATTCCACTCTGCAGTAATAGACTGAAAAAGCAACTAGTTAAATTCTATTTGTCTTGACTTTCCAAGTTGTGAAATCTTTACTTTGAATCAAAATGTCATTGCTTACCATGAAGAGTCGATAACGGCTTAGCGTGCCGTAGTCTTGTTTGAATACCAAAATATAGACTTCTGATACTGCTATCACATAAAAGAAAACTTTCTCTCTTCAAATCCTGGTTTATTTTCATGTAATTCATGTTGAAATAGGCCTTTTTGCAAATCAGTGCTCCCCATTGGTTTCCTAGTGGTCAATATACAATGCTAGTCATGTCTGTACTGAGAATATTCTATATATTTCACGTGTTCTTACCTGTCTGATGGATGATGCTGCTGGTGGATATAAGTTTCTCTGCAAAGCAGTAAAGGAGTCTTGGTATTGGAGATCGTTTTACCTTTTTTAAAACCAGTCAACTGATCTTAACAGTTATTATTTTAGACACTTTCAGTATTAAACTATTGACTGAATCTTTAAAAGCTTGGGAGGGTGTAGTGAATTCTTTGTTTTATCTAATTCTCTGAAGCCGCACATTCTGACAACAGGGTCTGCTTTATAACCTAGTCAAGTTTTCCAGGGACCGAGCAAAAAATAGCTTTCAGGAAAAGGAAGAAAGTGGTGGACCAGAAATTAGAGTAAGTCTTTTAGGGTTTAGTGTCCTCACTGGTAAATGAAAGGGGTTGGATTACATCATTTTTTCTTCTTCTTAACAATCTCCTTTCTTTTTTTTTTAAGATTTTATTGGGGAATTGGGGGAGGGGAACAGCGCTGGGGAGTTGTGGGAAGGGGAATAGACAAGTTGCTGTCCTTTTGTTCTTCAGTCTAGTTGTGGAGGACGTTGCTTCACTGGCCCAAGTTGGCACCATCATTGTGCTCTTCCCTGGCGAGGCAGATCAGTTGCCGGCTTCTGGACGGCTGCTCATGGTGGCTGCTGGCTGCTCACGCTGGCTGCTGGCTACACACAGTAGCCCATGGCAACCCACTGCCACAGGGGCTGCAGCCTATGCCGTCGCCGGCGACTCACGGCAGCCCAGCTCCAGGTTGAGCTGTTGTTCAGCATCTTAGCTGTAGAGGGCAGTGTCACTGGCACTCATATATGGGATCTGAACCGGGGCCCTCTGGCCTCCCAAGCCAGCTCTTAACCAACGCGTCACTCGGCCAGCCCATTAACAATCTCCTTTCTGCAGCTCTCGCTGTCCTACTGTGCATCGCCTGGGATGAGTTCTCTCATCACATGCATGATTCTCAACGGAGGGGGGGGGGAGATGGGAGAGGGGGGCATATAGAGCCTGAAAAGCTCCCTTCCTCACAAGTTTCTGATCTGACCCCAAAGGAGCCACCCCTATTCCTACCCATAAGTGAGGTGCTTAAGTTATATGATTTCTGAGGTCTCTTCTAATTGATAGATTTTTATCATTCTTTTATAAGGCTTTTACCTACCAGCCTTAGTAAAGATGCCTGGAATGTGGCCCAGCCCATAGTGACATTCAGTATGCGTTGAATGAACAAATGAGTGAAACGCACCAGTGCTTATTATATTCTATATGCCATGCTTGGTGCTTGATGTAGGTTACCTTGTTTGATCCTCACTCAGTACCAAATAGAGATTTCTAACCCTCATTAGATAAACGAGGAGACTAAATAACTTCCCCAAAGTCACTTACCTAATAAATGATAAATGAGGTTCAAACCTAGATTAGTTTCACTCCAAAGCTTACTCTCTGTGTGTTTTTATATTTTAAATTAATTAGTATTCTAGCACTGTCATCTTTCTAATGATACTTTCTGTTGGAAAAATCAAAGCTGTTTCTTGCTATCATTTTTTTTCTATTTTAAACTAAAACAATTTGGAATGCTCATAAACCATGTGTTTAAGGATTAAAATGACAGACCCACATCTAGTGGTTGTCTTGAAAATGCAGTTTTCAACTTACTATTTGAGATTTCTTTTATATCCAAAATGTTACTAACAGTATTTTTAAAGTATTTATGTGTCTTCCCAAAAAGTACACAAATAACTTATTGGTCTCTGTTTTTTATTTTGTACAGCATCTTTTTATTTTCTTTACCATTGCTTTAATATACTTTAAAATTTATTTATCTGCATTGATTGGGAACAAAGAAATAAAACTTATTGGTCTCTTTAGGGCAAACTTAGAAGCCAACACAGACTTGTTTCTGTTAGTATATTAAAGAAATGGCAATTTGTTAGCCAGTTCAGCTGCCTTCCATGGACATTCTGAAGTTTGGAGCTATTACAAACAGTGTTACTGTGAATATTCTTATACGTGTCTTTGGTGAATATAGAAGTATGCATTTCTATGGGGTATGTGCCTGGAAGTGGAATTGCTGAATCATAACATTTGCATGGTTAATACTGTACTACCAAATTGTTTTTTAACATTATACCGATTTAATGCTCCATTTCTATTCTGGCTATGTATCCTTGCCAACACTTAATAGTAAATCTTTTTTCTTTTAGCCATTCGGATGGGTGCATAGTGGTATTGCAGTTTTGGCTTTAATTTGCATTTCCCTAATGACTAGTGCAGGTGAATTATTTTTGTTGTGTTTATTGACCATTAGATATTCTCTTTTGTAAAGTACCCAAGTCTTTCATTTGTTTTTCTATTGGATTGTCAGTCTTGTTCTTATTGATTTGTAAGAGTTCTTTATATTCTATTTATGAGTCCTTTGTTGATCATGTATTTTTTAAAATATCTTCTCCCACTCTGGCTTGCTTTTTCAGTCTCTTAATGATGTTCTTTGATTACAATAATTTTTAATTTTGATGTCTGAAATCTGCCTAACCCAAGATATTTTCCTGTGTTCCCTTCTGTAAACTTTATTATTTGACCTTACATTTATGTATTTATTTATTTATTTATTTATTTATTTATTTATTTATTTATTTATTTATTTTAGCTGAGCCATCCTGCTACCTGTTGGCAGCTCAGCAGCAGCTCAGCCCGAGTCGGGCATCGAACCGCTGTTGCTTGGAGCTCGCACTCTTGAGCGAGCTCTTAACCAGTTGAACCACTTGGCCAGCCCTTATTTTACTTTATATTTAGATCTGTGATCCACATTGAATTGATTTTTTTATATGGTGTGGGGTAGACATAAAGATTCATTTCTTTTCAATATGGGTATCTAATTGATCTAGCACCAGTGTGTTTCATTGTATACATGTATTTTTTTATTACAGAATTGCTATAATTACTTTGGGGTTATTAGTACCACATCAAATTAACACCATTTGGGGTAGTATATTAGCTTTCTAGGGCCGCCATAATAAATTATTACAAACTTGGTATCTTAAAACAATAGAAATGTATTCTCTTACAGTTCTGGAGGCCTTAAATCAAGCTATTGGCAGGGTAGGGTTGGCTTCCTGTAAGGGAGACTCTGTTCCATGTCTTTCTTAGCTTCAGGGAGTTGCCAGCAATGCTTGGCGCTCCTTAGTTTGTAGGTGTATCCCTACAACTGCCTCTGTCTTCACATGGCATTCTTCCTGTGTTTGTTTGGTCCAAATTGTCCTGTTCTTACAAGGGCACTGGTCACTGGATTTGGGCCCACCATAATCCAGGATGACCTCATCTTAATTTGATTACATCTGCAAAAATCCTATTCCCAAATAAGATCACATTCACAGGTTCCAGGCAGACTGGAATTATGGGGACACTATTCAGCCCAGTATAGGTAGCAATAAATAACAGTATATATCACTCACTTTTCTTCACTATTAAAGCACAGTGTTGGACTCTTAAAAATGCAGTTTGTAGATAGAATTAGACCCTATAGAGATATACCCTAAGAGGCGCAGAATATCTGTCTACTCGGGTGCTGCCTAGCTAGTTAAATTTTATGATGGCAGAAGCCACTCGTCCACATGCTTTTCCTCATTAACTCTGTTGAGGCCCAGTGTCAGGACACGCTTGATATTTACCTCAAGCTACCCCTGTGCTGAGAATATATATGCTAACCTCAATTCAAGGAGTTAGACCTTTTGAATATTTTTCTACTGTGACACTCCAGTTAACTATTCATCTTCATTCCAGATGATGGTTTCCAGTTGCTGGGCGGGTATGTGTTTATTAAGAACATGCTTCAGGCTGAGGTCCAGGAAACTGATGGTTAGAGAGCATAGGCCCGAGGTTTAGTATGTGTGTGGAAGACCATGGGCCCTTTAACTGCCGTAGATCTTCAAATACTTGATTGTTAGTTAAAAGTCAGGTTAGCTTCAGTTCATCAAGAGGGAGAAACTGTCTCTTTAAAATTCTTATTCTAACCTTAAAACATTGTGATAGCATCAAAACTCTCAAAATGTGAAATCTGACCCACTGTAGTCAGAGATTAGAAGGGCAGATATTTCTGAGTTCGTGGATCCAATCTTCAAATAGTATTTGTGATTAAGACTGGTGTCTGATTCTTTATGTCCTTGTCACCAGAGCACTGTGTACATTTATTGGTCATTTTGTTGTGTAGGCTATACATACCTACATAACACACACCCATATGTCACATTTTGTGATGTATGCTGTGGTGTTGCAGTGGGTAGGGTCTGGAGGCACATTTGAATTGTGTCAAATTGTTCACATCTGATGTTAACATCTGATCCCAGCCATATTCTTGTTTCATCACTTATAAGTCTCTCATTATTTTACATATGAGGGATTGGTGAGATAAACCTTCTGTAATAAAAGCTGACACTTCTCTTTTAAGAAGCTCAGTTGACCCAAGAAAGAACTCCCTGGGCTTATCGGTGTAAAATTAAAGCAGTAAATCAAAATGTAATATAAAACATAAGCATCTTTCCCTGTTTTATTTTTTTAAATCATTCTGTGTTGTTGTTGTTGCATTTTATTGCATATCCAGTGTTTGTAGTTTGTAGCTTGTATACCCCCCCCCCATTTAATCCCTNTTTTTTAAATCATTCTGTGTTGTTGTTGTTGCATTTTATTGCATATCCAGTGTTTGTAGTTTGTAGCTTGTATACCCCCCCCCCATTTAATCCCTCTTCCCACTTGCCATTTTCACTTTATGAAATCAGGGGATTGGATTCTATTGTTTAATGAGTTTAAATTTCAAAAAATTAATTTAGAGCCATGGAAAAATCGGTTTAATTTTATTTTTAAAAGGAAAAGGTAATTTGAAGCACTTGCTATGGTTTATTAATCTTAAAAATATAACCTGCATTACTTATAAAAATGATACTTTATAGCAGCAGGGATTTTTAAAAATAAAATTATTCTTTTTAAAATAAAATCTTTATTATGTTATCATTTGAAGTATATTTAAAACCAACTATTTTGGGCATTCCTGTGGACTATTGGGTATGAGAAATAACTAGTAAAATGGCACCCTGTTATTCCGATGGAGTAGCTGCTCAGGAATTAGCCTTAGTGTCCAAGTGTCAGCTCCCCCTGGCTTCCAGGACTTTCAAGTACCATGTTTTCCCATGGCTTCTTTATGTTTTAGTAAACTGTCCAGGAACATTGCCATTTTCTCCACTGAGCATTTTAAAATAGTATTTCAAACACGTCACTGTTTGTCTCTCCCATTCTTCCTTTGTTTCTTTTGACAGTTATGTAGCCTTTAAATTTCTTTTCTGCTTCAGCCACTTGGGATGGTTTGCTATGGTGATCCCGGGAAGGTCAGGTCAGTGGAAGACCGTGTGTACCAATGCAGTCATGTGTATCTGCTAGGCGCTCCTGCATTGTTTTTAAGTTCTTTGCATTGCCAGTCAGCATGGCAAGTACTTTTCCACTTAACGGCCTCCCAGTGATGCACAAGCTTTGCCACTCATTGTTCCACAAGCTGGCTGTCCTCTATCTCATGGCTTGTGAAGCAAACAGACGGAAGCGGGTTGACATGTCATCGCACACTGGGTCCTTCTCCTCACATGGATTCTTTCTTCTGCTCTCATAGCCAGCTCCACAAGAGACTTATTCAGAGTGTGTGTATTCAGAGAGAAAACGGCCTCAGCAGTTTAAAGCTGTCTGACTAGGATTCATTTTAGGTATCAACAGTGGTGCTCTGGAAGAATGTAATACTCTGTGAAGGACTTGAGCTAATTTTTCTGTGGATGAGAGTTTTTGTATGTGGCCGTCTGTGGTACTTAACCACCTAAGGCGAGACATGATAGGGATGGTGGTGTTAAAGAAGCACCAGTGCAGAGAGCCCCTGGGCCCAGAACCCTGCAGGCAGGGCATGACTGTAATTTTTGTCTCATTTTGATTCTCCTCATTTATAGCCATAAAGGTTTTCTTAAAAAAAAAATACCTATAAGCATTTTTATATACAATTTTTGTTCCTTTTAGTGGCATTCATAAATGCATATTTTATATGATGGTTTTTTAAAAAAAATTCCATGTGTTCTCACCCCTCCCCATGCACCACAGCTTGCAATATGGAAATACTTTCATGTACTATGAACAGCTTCTACACGTCTGTTGGTGTCTTAATACCATAAGTATACATTTAAGAATGACACCTTCTTCAGAAGTAACTATAACGATGGACTGTATGGTAGATGATTTTACTGAATCACTGTTAATCTCAAGTGTGATAAGGTATTATGATTATGTAGAAGAATGTACTTATTTCTGGGAGTTGCATGCTAAAGTGTTTATAAATGAAATACCATAATATCTGTAACTTATTTTCATATGGTTCAGCTAAAGCCAGAGAAACGTGTATGTATGTGTGTTCATACACACATAGAAACAAAGTCGTTAAAAGCCAGTGAATCTAGCATATGGGTGTTCATTGTGCTAATCTTATAGCTTTCCTGTAAGTTCAAAAATGCCTTAAGTAAAAAATTAGGGGAGGATAACCACTTCCCTGCAGACCTCATTTTCTCTCTGATTTGATTTCATTTGTTTGTTACAGCATCAAACTAGTTGATATTTTAAATGTTCCTTTAATATTGGATTCAGAACCATTTAAACATCTACCCATGAGTAAAGAAGTATATTTTCTCTCAGTTTTATGGATTTTTGGATTCTAAAGTCACGAGGTCAGGAAGTTCCAACTTTCTTTTAGCGGTGGTTATAGGTGATGATAACTTTTTGGCAGGAAAATAAATTCTAGCTGCGCACAAACCGAGAAAAGTTCCCCTGCTGCACAGAAGTCATCAATTCTTTCTGTGTTATGTCATTAAGAGTCCCCCTTGGCTATAGCAGTCTTATGTCTTATTGAATGGTTTCATCCCACCTGTATGTGGACATTGATATTAAATGAGTAATATCTATGTTTCCCTGCCTTTTTTCTGCTTGGGTAAATGTTGGGGAAAAGAGATATAGCTGTCCTGATTTTCTGGTTGTCCTACTCCATCATAATCCATTCTGTCTCTCTAGACCAGGGTATTTAAATTGCTTCAAAGCCAAATTCAACAGCAGATGTGGACTGATGAGGGCACCCCATCTAGTCGAGAGCTGCGGTCAGTCTTGCTAGAATTTGCTTGTACCTATAACGTCGGGAACTGCAACGCTACTGCCGTGAAGCTATTTGACGATTGGATGGCATCCAATGGAACTCTAAGGTGACGTGTGCCTCTACTCAAATGACCTTTTCCTCTTCTTTACCTCACATCATATACTACAACCGGGATCTTCTCATCCTGGGTCATAAATGTTGTAAAACTCACTGTTAATATAGGCGAAGTCTATGTGCTTATATTATAAAATAAGACTTTTTCTTTATTGTGGTTAAATACATATGGAGTATAACATGAAATTTATTATCTTAACAATTTTTAGGTGTACAGTTCAGTAGCATAAGTATATTCACATCGTTATGCAACCAATCTCCAGAATTTTTTTATCTTTCAAAACTGAAACTTTTTACCCAAACACTCCCCACTTTCCCCGAGCCCTGGCAACCACCATTCTACTTTCTATTTTATGAGTTTTACTGCTCTAAATGCCTCATGTAAGTGAAATCATATAGTATTTGTCTTTTTGTGAGTGGCTGTTTCACTTAGCATAATATACTCAAGGTTCATCCACGTTGTGTCAGAATTTCCTTCCTTTTTAAGTCTGAGTAATCAATCCGTTGTACGTATATACCACATTTTGCTTATCCATTCATCTATTGATAGAAAGGTGGTTGCTTCTATCTTTTGGCTCTTACGAATAATGCTGCTATGAACTTGGACATACAAATATATGTTTGAAACCTCTACCTTCAGTTCTTTCAGATATATACTTAGAAGTAGGACGGCTAGATCATATGGTAGTTCTATTTTTAATTTTTTGAAGAACTGCCATATTGTTTCCCATAGTGGCTGCACCATTTTACATTCCCACCAGCAGTGCACAAGGGTTCCAATTTCTCACATCCTCACCAACATTTGCTATTTTCTGTTTTTCTTTCTTTTTTTTTTTTTATATATATAGCAGCCATCCTAATGGGTATGAATTGTCAAGAAAGTCTCTCTTAATTTAGGAATAAAACATAGCAGATGGAGTTAGAAATTAGTAGAAATGTTTTTGATGATGGTTGGTTCTCTCGAGGTTCCTTATTAGGCATTATGGAGAAAGAGTCAAGCCTCAGATAAAGAGTCAGGGGATTTGGGGTGGCGGTTTTGGATAATCTTATTGAGGTTCTTTCCAGTTCTGAGATCTTCATAAAAACAGAAAACTGTGCTTCTTTCCCTCTTCTCATCCATCTCCCCATATTCCTGCCATGGAACTCACCACACTGTATCGTAACGTGTGTATTTATTGTTCTGTGCTGGGTGATAGCCTGTCTCATTCTTTCTCTCTCCAGCATCCAACCAGTTGCCTGCCTCGTTCTTTATGGAAGCTCAGTGAATAGTTATTCTATTAAATTGAATTTTTATCCCTTACAGTCCCACCACTAGGACAGTAGCAACCACTGAATTAACCATTTTCTTGACTATTAATTGTACCTGTACTTCTAAATATTACTTGGTCTGACCCCAAAACACCACCGCTGGTCAATTCCTTGCCTTTGTCTTCAGGATTGTTTCTTGTTCTTCTCACATTTGACCACTTCTCTTACAGCCTACCTACTGAGGTCATGGCCACCGTGTTCAAAGTTGGAGCAAAAACCGAAAAAGGCTGGTTATTCCTCTTAAGCAAGTACATGTCTTTAGGCTCTGAAGCTGAGAAGAATAAAATACTTGAAGCTCTTGCCAGCTCGGAGGATGTATGGAAACTTTACTGGTATGAAACCACCCAAGGAGTATGATATATAGAAACCCAAAGCATAAAAGCATTGTGCTCCTAGGGTGGGGAGCGCATTTTCCCTGGGAGCTCCCTCTCCCTCCCTGTACTCACAGACCAGACCCGACTCGGGCAGTGTGGTAAGGAGCCTGCATACGCCGGGGGGATTGGACATAACAGGCAGGGATTGGACATAACAGGCAGACCGTGCTTTGTCCAGAAGAGACTGGGAGATGCTGAGAATCACAACCTCCTCCGACTTTCTTTTTTTTCCTTTTTTTTTAAGCTGAGCCGTCCTGCCACCTGTTGGCAGTTCAGCGGCTGCTCAGCTCAGGCCAGGCATCGAATCGCTGTTGCTCAGAGCTCAAACTCTTGAGTGAGCTCTTAACCAACTGAGCCACTCGGTCGGCCCTCCTTCGACTTTCTGCTTCAACACTTCTTCCTCCCTTTGGCATATTGTCTTTAATTCCATAGTTACTGCTTCATTCTTTTTGGTCAAGGCATTGCTCTGTCCAACCAAGCTGTCATTTTGAAAATGCTGATACTTCAGAAAAAGGTAACATGGAGAAGCTTATAGGCTTCACCTTCATGAGAATTTGTCAGACCTTTCCTTTTTAATGTTTGGCTGATGAAGACCTGGAAATGCGAGTTTCACATGGGGAAAGGAGGGCGGTGAGTAGGGCCTCCTGACAGGAAGAACAGTCAGAGGCAGAGCAGAAGAGCTCTGAGGAGCCCCGGGTAATGTGAAGGTAACTTGAAAGTCGGCACCGGGAAGGCTAGAGGAAGGCACTGAGGTCTCATGGCTTCTCTCATATAATTTTTCTCAGATAAATCCTAATGGTGTCCCAGAGATTTCTTCAGCACCTGCCCAGACCCACCTTTCAAAGGATACACTATAAATAATCATTTTCTTTAAAGCAGTAGCTTGTCTCTGACCCAAGCAAACAGAGAAAGGTTTTTGTTTTTAAATTAATAGTGATTTTGTTCTAAACTAGTAACACATTAATAAATCCCCATTATGAAGCATTTAAACAATACCTGAGAAAATGGAATAAAATATGAAAGTATCTCTCATATGATCCTTCACTTCCATTCTTATTCCCTCTGCTCACAGTGCCAGTCCTGGTCGGTGTATTTATATACATCGTAATAGGTTTTACTACACCTAGTGTTTTGTGATGGTCATTTTAGTGAATGATCGGTCTTTGAGATTCGCCATATCAGTTCATAAAGCCTACTTCATTTGCTTTCATGACTGCATAGCATTCCATAGTATGGCTCTAATCTATCATAATTGATTTAATCCATCACATCTTGATGGGCACTTGGGTTTTTCTTCCTATTAAAAATACTGCTGCATTCTTTTGGGGGTATGTGTTTTCTCACTATACACAGATTTTATAGCAATAGTAGATGAGAACTGCTGACGTTCAAATGCCAGGCTTTTGTAGTTCTGTAACTGAAGCCATTACGTAACCTCAGTTTCTTAACCTATAACAAGGGGATAGATAATAATTACCAATTTCAAGCATTATTAGGATTACTGCTCATATGTCCAACTCCTGAGATGAAGCGCACCCAGCATATGCAGGCTCCTCACCACACGTCTACGTCAGGTCTGGCCTGTGAGTAAACGGAGGAAAAGGGAGATCCCAGAGAAAATGAGTCAAGAATTTAGAACATTATATAGTACATATGAAGTATCAAAAAATATCTATATTCTTAAATGTATCTTCATTTTCACATTATTCAAGCAATCCAGTTTTTAAGAGTAATAATATACCTGCTTACTCAAATCAATTATAGTTTTTAACAAAAAAAATACCAGTTTTCAGAATTATAATAAATTCTACCAGAATTTATTTCTCAAATGTCCTTACTACATCAATAACAATTAATTATTATGTGACAGTATATTTAAGTGCTTATCTCATTGGTGAGATCTTCCTTTGTTTAAAAAAAATGACAAGTTTTCAATCAATTGATCAACCTCACCCAAAACTTATATCCCTTTAATTTCTCCGGAATTTTAATTAGGAGGCCAGTGCTAGTTTAAGTTTAATCATCACTTCATCATGAATAATTATTGTAGAAGCTAAATCTGCTTTGCTTTTCAGGTTAATGAAAACTAGCCTTAGTGGAGACAACATCCGAACACAAAAGTTGTCGTTTATCATTACAAAAGTGGGCCAGCGTTTTCCTGGACACTTACTGGCATGGGATTTTGTCAAAGAGAACTGGAATAAGCTTGTACAGAAGTAAGTTTCTCAGAGAATTGCTAGCGTTTAGTATTTTCAGGCTCTGCATTTGAAAAATGTCCCCCATGTTGTTGTGGTTCACAGGAGTTATGATTTGCTGTGAGAGGAAAAATGCTTTAGTGATAGTTTAACTGAAACACCCAGAAATGTTCACATTGTAAACATAATTCCATAATGCTTGTCACGTAACAGTGGTGTTCCCCGTGAGTGCTAATCAAGCCCAACTGTGCTTGACACCAGGTCACTTAACTTAGCACAGGCCCGGGCAACTTCAGAATGGCTGTTTAGTTATATGTGTTGAAAAATACCTCTGCATTGCCAAGAGATCAGCTATGAACTCACACCCAGCTAAATAGCACGTGTAGGTTTTTTCCCTTTTAAAGTAATAATGACATTTCTGGATGTTTGATGTGATTTTTGAATAGGTCAAATGGATTAATAGTTTACCCGGATAATGCAAATTCCTGTCTTTTCTTGCCCACCCTGCCCTCCCACTGGCAGTAAGTGAGTGTAGGACTACTGATGGACTGGGCTGTGGTTCCCGGCAGCAGGACTCTGCCCTGCCTGTGGCATGTATAGTTTACAGTAAAGCATTTCCTTTGCACGCAGGAACGTGACTTACCAACAGCTGCCTTATTTTGTGCTCCTTTTGCTGTTTGTTTGTGTTTCTTCAGGTTCCGTCTGGGATCCTATACCATGCACAGTATTGTTGCTGGATCAACTCACCTGTTTTCAACAAAAGCACATTTGTCTGAGGTTGGTTGTATAAAATGCTAGTGGGGAGATTGGGTAACCCTTTCCCCCCAGGCTGCTCAGTTTAAGTCAGATGGTGGCTCCTCATGCCAGTCCCTATCCCTTCTCTTTGTCTGCCTTCATCAATGCTGGTGGTTTGGCATTTCAGATTACTTCTAAAGGGTGGATATGCAGCAATGAGAAAAACATTCTGATGAGGACAAATTCCGATTCCATTCTCAACAATATTCTATTGTCTCCCTCATACAATTTTTTTTTTAATTAAGACCAGTATATGCCAAGTTTCTTTTTAAGTAGTAATAAAACTGTTTGCAGGAATTCCACTCCAAGGGCAAACTAGGGCAACAAGCGTAACTTTAGACTCTACCTCATTTGCTGTTACTTGGCCATTTTTTTTAAAATTTTTATTTTAAATTTAAAATCACCCTTGTGGAGGTAAGGAGAATTCATTTTTTAAATTACTTCAGATTTCACCATACTTGATCAGTACCTTGAGGTAAATACCTCAAATATTAAAGTGTTTTTTGTCTCTACTTCTTTCAAGACATCACAGCTGTCACTCAGTGAAAGCTTATTGGAAAGGATATTCAGAGTTAGTTACCTGAGATTTACTGTTCTTTTGATATACTTCTGTGTGCAACTTACAGGTCCAAGCATTCTTTGAAAATCAATCAGAGGCAACCTCTCAGCTTCGTTATGTCCAGGAGGCTTTGGAAGTCATTCAGTTGAATATCCAGTGGATGGAGAAGAACCTTAAAACTCTGACATGGTGGCTGTAGCACCCACAGCTGCACCTCATTTTGTCGCCCATTCGGAGAGCTTGTTAGTAATAACGTGGGCTCTGCTGCTTCTGCAAAATCCAAGGTGAAGCCAAGGGTCGCTTCCAAGTTGTTTGCACTCTTAGGAGTTCTGGTTAGCTCAGGGCCTGTCTGTACTTTTCATCTGTCTTTTCTGAAATGTCTTTGGGCAGTGTGTAGTTATTTATTACCAAATTATAGTCACCTATATGCCAACCATCTACAAAAACAATGAGTAATTTTCTTACTTTGAAGATATACAAATAGGGGGGAGGGGAATATCTGTTTTGGAATTCTGTTCGATTTCTCAGTATCTGGAAAATACTGACACCATGAAACAAGGAAGGATCTACCATGGGAGCCACCATCTTTGCAGGCTGCTGGTTTGTCAGCCATTTGTTGCTTCTTGTTGAGAGATGTTAGTTGAATGTGGTACAAAGTTCGCTTCAGAGAGTGTGGCCATGGAGTTGATGGAGCACGTGACGCAGAGAACTGCCCTCAGGTGTGCAGATCTACTTTGATTCAGGGTTTTGATTAATCCTTCATTTCCTGGAAAAAGTTTAAATAAGATCTATAACGGTTATTTTTTTTTCTGTAGAATAGCCAGGTGCTACAGTATTTTTAAATTTTTGTTATAGTGAAAAGCTAAATAACAAGGTTAAAAGATTAAGTTTCCAAATATGTAACACTTTTTTTTTCATCTTTTAGGAAAATGTTTCAAATCAAGATGGCTTTAGTTATAATTATTTTCTTCATAAATTTCAGTATTCTCTAAATCTGTACACTTTTCTCGCTCCCTGCTGTAGATATACCTTCTGTTATAAATAAGTGTTTCTACATTTATGGCACGCATTTTGTTAATGCTGTTGTCTTTTATCATGACTTTATCACTGTTCCTAAAAATACAAGTTGTGTAAGATGCCTTTTGGCATGATAGGTTATAGACACTTTCTCTCTGAATCATACACGAGTGGACTTTCATATTATATGACAGAGTAGAACATTAGAAACATTTTAAAATAGGGCCTTTGAGAAATTGAACATTTTTATTTGAAGTTCACCATAGTACCTTAAAGGAAAAAAAGAGAATGTGGGATAGGAGTAACTTGATTCAGGTTTAGTATGGTGGGCTTTGAATTTTTTCTACTATCAAAAACAGTACTTCTCTTTAGTTGAAGAACCACAGTTTTATTTTATCATGGCCAAACTATTAATAACAGATTAGAAGGAATGGCCAAAGAAAGAAAGAAAGAAAAATGAGGGAAGATATCCAAAACTGTATGGCATTTTTACTCCTAAAGGAGAAATACTGTACTTGAATTTTTGAGCTATGCAGACTTATACCTAGATTGTTATGTTTCTTTGATTCTTCGGAGAAAAGCTTTCTTCCTAATAATTCTTGAGTACTTCATATTTTTTTGAAAACATTAGCTATGTACATAAAAAGTTGTCCATTTTGCAAGTACTTAAAAATACTCCACAGAATCACAAAATGGGAAAGATCACCTTTTTTTTTTAAATTCAGGTGTGAAGTAAGAGTTTGTGGGATTGTGTATAAAATTATATTTTATTTTATGAAAATATTTTTATATAATAAAATTTTAAAGGCTGGAAAGCTAAAAGATAGCCTTCTTTAATTCTGGTGTATTTTCGCTCAATTTGGTCTTTTCTAAACATTTATCTCTGTTTTAGAGTAAAAAATATAATATCCTGAGAATCACAGAATCATCTAAAGATGTCTTATTGAAACTGGGGTAATTGTAGGTATTTATTCCTGTTGTGCTTTGGTAAATGAATGATAATTTAGTTGATACTGAAAGCTAGTGTGTTTTTATATTTCTAGAGTGGGGAAAAATACTAACTTTTAAGGGGTTTTTTGTTGCTGTTTTTTTTACCATGTTATATTACTAAATTTCACTTTGATACAGAGTTTAAATTTTGCTACTTCTCAAAATCAGTTAAGATACTTCTCTGCCCATCTTTACATGGCTCCTGTAACATATGGTAACTCTGCATATGGCAAATCTTGTCTTGAATTATGTCCTTTTTCCCCTGTGAGTATATGTGTGTGTGATGTGGGGGATGTTATTATAAGTAAAACCCTATCAAAACATAGACTAAAAAAAGAGGTAACTCGTAATCCATTGCTATCTTTATACTCAAAAGCTGTCCATTCCCATGAGACCGTATCCATACTATTTGTAATTTTATTTGTGGGCCTCACTTCAATTATTTGTAGTTTTAATAGGTCTCGCCTCAGATTTTCCCACAGAATTCCATAAATTTAAAAGTGATGCTAACCCACTGCGGTCTCTGAGGGACACTTCTAAACACCAACTCTTAAATCAGGAATATAAGGTTAAACAATGGGTAGAACATGTATATAATAAGTATAATTGTAGCTTTTGAAGTTTTCTTTTCCCCAAAAAACTTTATCTTAGCCACCGTATTTCTGGGAACTCAAATAGATTGAAGCACAGCAGTCACAGTATGCTTTTTTATATAAGCACATAGGCCCATGACACAGTTAAGTACTTGTCCAACAAGTATTGTATTCATTGCAGAGAGACAGTCTGTTTGAATGTCATATAAAAGACACACCACACTAGGTTATTAGGAAGGGTAGAATGGGGAGTCTGGAATTTTGAAGAACAACCTATGTTTTGGAGATCTGAAAGCCTATGAAAGTAGAAATCTAAGGAGTCCAGTGATGGGATATATTAAACTGCAAGTAGTGTCACCTTCCACCATAAACTTGTGCCTTCCTTCATCTTATTGTTTTGTATAAGCCTCTTTAGGTGAACTTGTGTTGTTTGCCATTGCTTCAGAGCTTACCATCACGGGTTCCACTTCACGCTAATAGCCTTTGCCACGCGTGCTTTCATTTTATTGTGCTGTAGCCACTGCAGGAACGAGCCAGAGCGCTGGCAGGAGAGCCCTGGGTCCGTGGAGGGTGTCGGGGTGCGTCCGGCTTCCTGGGCACGGAACAGAAAGAAGCCTTTCTGCACATTGGAAAGTAAGAAGTGGAAGTTAGGTGCTGAGTTTGTTGGATGACTGATAGCCTGTTACTGAGTTAGATGTTCAAAGGGTCTATTCAGACTAGAGCACCTGGAGCCTGAATCTGCAGTCAGACCTCTGACCATTCACAGGGTCCCCGTGAGCTTCATGGGGCTGCAGGGACCGTGCGTGCATCTCCGGAGATGCGTCAGCGCCAGACGGCAGGTCCTGGGCCAAGTTTGCAAAAAACGACCTGGATTTCCTGGGTATGATGTAGTTTTTCTCCCACCTTTGCCTTTGTCATTCGTGTTTTCATTGACATCAACTCTCTTTTTAAAGAGCTTCCCTCCCATCCCCATTTGTACTTAAACAAAAAACCAGTGTATATATTTTTGCTTCTTTTTTTTTTTTTTTTTAATTTTAATGGGGATTTGGGGAAGGGGAACAGCCAAACCGTTGTCCCTCAAACCTAGTTGTGGAGGGCGCAGCCAGCCCAGCTCCAAGTCCAGTCGCCATCCGGCCGCCCATCAGCAGCTCGTGGCTGCTCAGCTCAAGGTGCCTTGCCCAATCTTAGCTGCGGGCGGGTGTGGCCCACCATGGAGTCGAACAGGCAACCTTGTTAGGAGCACGTGCTCTCACCAGCTGAGCTATCCTGCCACCTGTTGGCAGTTCAGTGGCAGCTCAGCTCAGGTGCAGTTCACTGGCCCATGTGGGAATCAGACCAGTGAGCCTGCTGCTCAGAGCTCACGCTCTTAACCAACTGAGCCACTTGGCCGGCCTTTTTGCTGTTTTTTGCATTCTTTTATTCTGTGCTTCATTCTCTACATTGGCAAGGAAGTACCATGTGAAAAGTGGAGGTCTAAAACTATGACAGATCTCCTCGCCCCTCTGTCCGTTATTGCTGGCATGGGCAATAGCTCGCAGAAAATAGTTGATTAATTTCTTTGGGTGGCTGTTTGGGGGGATCTTCTCTAAAATGTACATACGTATTTTTGATGTGTTTTTATACTTTCATTTTGTGTCTTTTGTCCCGATGAAAAGTGAAATATTGTCCTGTGAAAATCTCTTCTGCCTTCCTGTGTTGCCTGTGTGGGCGACAGCCGTAGAGTAGTTATTTTGATGTTCTTTTTTGGAAGCAGATGGTGATGTTGGGAGGAGACCAGAGTATGTTCTTGTAAAACTATGTACAGATGTTTTTGCTGCTATTTTGTGTGTGTTGTTTCATTTTGTATTTCATTCACCCTTTTCACGGGTCTGTAGACACCTAACCCACCACGGAGGTCCAAAATTGTGACAGGTGTCCCGTTTACCCCTGTCCTGAGTGCCTGTGTGGACACTGAGTGACTAATAGAGTAGCTGTACTTGCTGTTGTTTTCATGTAGTCTTAGGGACGTTGCCAGGGTGGTAGTGTGTCATTCTATCAAGTGTATATAAATATTGCTGCTTATTTATATTTCATTTTATACATGTTCTTTTGCATGGATGCATATATGCTTAATGAAAATGGGGTTCGGAGTATGACAGATTTCCTCTGTTCCCTTTTCCTTATTGTCTCTTGAGACAATAGCTAATAGAGTACTTTGTTTTGTGGGGTGGGAGAGAATGGGGTATGTACTTAATGTATATAAATAAATTTGCTACCACTTTGTATTGCTAATTCATTTTGTACTGCGACCTTCTCATAGGACAGGAAAGTACCTAATGATATGTGGAAGCCCGGATGTATGACAGCCTCCCCTGGTCCCCTTCCCTTGTTGCCCATGTGGGCAATGGCTAGTAGAGTAGCTAATTACTTTCAGGAGTTCTTTGGTGGGTATTGGGGTAAATACTTTTTAAATATATATATATATATATAGATGTTTGTACTTCTTATTATAGAATTTTATTGGGCACCCAGTCCTTCACTTGGACGTGTGGGTTCCTAATAAGCCATGGGGTTCTGGATGTATAGCAATCCGCTCTTCTTCCTTTCCCTTTTTAAAACTGTCTCACTCATGTTAAAGTGGTTTGGGTTTTTTGAAGTTTTTTTTGTTTTGTTTTGTTTTGTTTTTTCCTTGGGGCGGGGTGGCAAGGGATATATACTTTTGAAAACTGTATATACAGTGTTTGTTACTATGCTGTGTTATTCCATTTTGTACCCCGTCCCTTGCTTGGACGCGTAGGTACCTAATGAAACGCGGAGGTCCGGATGTATGAAAATCTCCTCTTTTCCCCTTCCCTCGTTGCCTCTGTGGGCAATGGTTTTAGAGTAGCCTAGATTTTTTTTTTTTCAATACTCTACTACTCCCTCCCCAGAGAGGGTGGGGATATGTACTTTTAAAAATGTATATACATGTTTTTGCTCCTTTTGTCTGTTACTTCATTTTGTACCTAGACCTTTCCATGGACGCTTAGGTACATAATGAAAATTGAGGTTCATTCTATGAAGAAAATCTCCCCTTCTCCCTTTCCCCTATTGCCTGGCTGGGCAATGACTAGTGATGTAGTTGTTTAGAGTT